CTTTCCCTTCTCTCCAAAATTCAGATGGCTTAGAGCTATCTTTGTGTTTCTTCACCTAGCAATACTTTCTGGGACTTAATACCCATAATGATGACTTAATACCCATAGCATGACATGCTATGTCATGCAGTTGCTGGAGGATGTCATGGGGATGAATAATACAGAATTACTTTGCTAAACACCTTATATAATATGTTGATTAAGCTTATGAATGCAGCCTAATTTATAAAATAAGCATAACTAGTAAAAAAATTGTGGAAATATAAGGAGAAAAAAACATTTGCAGAGGTGTATCAAATTAAATTTAATTTTAAAAACAAATATAATTTATATTTAGGAGCAGAGTTCTTTGTCCATGTCCTGCAGTAAGTGACCAGGAAGAAATGAGTCCAGAATTAGCACTATCATCATGTTGATACTTTTTTTTGGTTTTGTGTATCTTGATGGATGAGAGATTTTTGACAAGGGAGGCAAAGTTCAGAGAAGAGCAACATAATGATTGGAAGAATTGGATAATGGGAAAACATCAGAAGATTCAAATTGTGTATCTTGGCAGTGAGAACCCTAGTGAGATTTTGGAGAAGAGTATAAAAGCTTTTAATAAATAAACCAAACAGTAGGAGGAAAATTGATTAGTTCCTGCAGGTCTAGTGCAGATATGCTTAATACAAAGATCTTAACAAAACTGAGAAATGAGGCAGAACATCAGCAAGAGGCCCTGTGGGGATAGTAATTAGGTTGAGAAATAGCAGAGAACAAAGGTAATAGCACAGCTGATCACAGAAAACATATGGCACTGTAAAGCAATCTTATTCAACATGGTGTATTTCTAAGTGTGTATTCTCTGACAAACCACCCAGGAAAGGATGCAAAGGGAGGGATTATTCTCACGTGACACTAGGCTGTCTAAACATTAGAAGTCTCATTCAGACTGCTCTGCTGTTAGAGAGGCACTTACAGAACACAGAATCCACAGTTCCACACCTAAAATCTGAATTGACTTCTCTCCATCTGGGATACAAGGGGAGCTGAGCTGACTAGCTTTGACTTTGAGATGGTTAAATTCAGGTGATATGAACCCTAGTTTGTAAAGTGCTGACATGAATATTGTCAGTTGATTAGGATCATGATGTTTCAAAAGTGAGTTATGATACCTTAAGGTAAAACCTGGATGTGACAAAAAATACTCATAATAGTGCAGGAAAATATTAGAAGCCTTCTTGGACTATTTTATTTTAATTTCACAACAAGACTGACTATGACTATAAGCCCATGCACTCATAATCATCCATTCCATAGGATCTACCATCATAAAGTCTTTTCCAGTTAATTCTTTAAAGTTTATTTCCATTTCTCTTTTTTTGCTGGTAGTTGTGTATGGATTCATCTTTTGTAAAATAGGTATGGAAAGAGAGAGCTGAGAGTATCAAACCTTTGCCAGACAGTTATGTCAAAAAACCTGCAGTTAATGTTTTGGGGATAATTCACCCCCTTGGAAACACACAACATTTTGGATCCCACCTTCAGTGAAACCAAGCTTTCCTAAGTGGTACTGCAGAAAACCACCAGGTGTTCAATACTTTTTCCTTGTCTGCAGCTCCCTCACAACACTCCTGGAAGGCACATATGCAGGTGAGCCCCGTACCTCAGCTGTGATGGACACAGAAATCTTTTACAACTAAACCCTTTACTTTCAAGGTGTGTCACCTTGCACTTACCAACACTAAATTCCTTATATTCATTTTTACAGTCAACCTCTTAGTTTGTCCAAAAGGACAATAGGTTGCTTGGGTTTTCCTAGTACACACCAATGGGTCTCCTAAAAACAAAGTAGTTTTTAAAAAGAGACAATGAAGGTTACTCCAGATGCAAATTGCTGATCTAAGTGAAGTTTATGACTAAAATCTCAAACTTACTGAATCAAGGTTTCCAAGGAAAGCTAAGGATTCAAGCAACAACTGCATGCTCTATTTTCATCTTAAAAGTTTTGCCCATTTTCTCTTTCCTCTGAACTCACAAAACAAAATTAAACACGTAACGTAGTTATAAAATAAAGAAACAGGATATGTATAACACACGACACACTTTCTAAATGGTCTGAAACATCTTCACATTTAAATGGGAAGAGAATATTTGAATAAACTTTAATTTCTTTCCATTCTTACTTGCTAAACTTTCATACATCCTCTGCAGAATTAACCACAAGTGACTGATTGATAGGCACTTCTATAACTTCAATCTGATGCAAAGGCTTTTACTGAAACCCCTTAACTATTTTAATGCAAGGGTTCTTGCATCATGTAGTGAAACTAATACTTTTTAGGAATAGTAAAACAAATTGCTCTATCATATAATCGATTGTGTAAACACTTAATGCAGTTTTGGTACACAGTTCTCTCCACTAGAGGTCTCTAGAGAAATATAAGAAATAATGCAGAATACGAGATACCTTCGAGTTTTCTTCTTGATACTATCTACGTTTTGTATAAGATGAAAAACAGCACTTGTTCTATACTTGTTGCAGGTATTTCTTTGGATATGCTTCTTCTGCTGTGGATTACTACAATAATAATTAATATCCATGAGGTGTTTCAATGCATTCCATAATTAGATTTTCAAAATTTATAATTAAAATTTCAACATCACATCCCTTAGGAAGCATAATATTGCACAAAGTATTTAACCAAAGGAAGAAAAAATCTAAGGTGGCTACTCGGTGAGGCAATCACCTTGCTAATGAAAGAACAAATTAAAATAAATAAAGTAGTGTTTGTTAACCAGAACAGTATTTCGATTGGGAAATTAGAAAATTATTATTCTGGTGTGCTCTTCAGCAAGCCATTATATCACAGGCGAAATAAACCCTGGCTTAATGTTGATTATCCTTAATTTGGTTAATTAATATAACTTAATATTTGCATATTACTTCATCGCCATTTTCTGTGCAGCCCTCCAATCACTTCTACCATGTCTGATACTAAATTTGACATATAACAGTCCTTCAGACCTTTTCTTCTATACCTCTGAAGTGGAAAGGGAAGTTTTATGATGTTATGCATGGAAGCAGGAAGCTGGATGGTCTTAGAATCCCTATTTATTCCAAAAATGTCCAGCACCTATCAGAATCAAGGACAAGTAGAAACAGAGAAGGCTAAGTTATTATTAATAAGAACTTCCAGTTTAAGAATTATAGCCTACTGTACTTGGGCACTCACTTACTTTAACAAATGGGACTCTTTGCAATTTTAGACTGGGCCAATGATCTGAAAGCTGGAAAAATCTGGAAATAAAAATACTTGCCCTGTTCAGGTTGCTCCTTCTTTGACCGTGGCAGATAGCTTTGTAAATACCTGAGGCTTAGTGCGTGCAGCTGCATTAGCTTCTGCTCATTTTCTGATGCTGCATGGCAAGTGTGGAAGAGAACATAAGAGATGCTGAGAGTAGAGAGAATCAGGAGGGAGGCACTCCTGAGAAGACAGGTTACTGGAACAGTTCTGGGCCTTTCTGAGGTTTATCAAGTTGCTTTAACATACTGCCTCCTAATTTTTTCATTTGTAGAATGAGAACTGCAAAGGGTAACCAAGTGAGGCCAATTAGTATCCTGAAACATTGTACAAAGGTGATGATTCTCATGGTATTTTGTGCTGCAAAGACCAGAAAGAGACAAAAAGTTCTAAGAGGAATAGAAATAGTGCAGCAGAGACATTCCCTTGAAACTTGTAATATTATATCACAGAGCTGAACACCCACCTCCATCAACTGATCTGATGGTAATGGTTTCAGGCATGGAGTTACTAATTCATGCTCAGAGATTCAAGAGGTGCTGATCTGCAGTAGGAAAAAAGTCTCATCTATGGACTATACTTTGAAATTATATTCGCATGCAAACACTTCTATATAAATGGCAGAATTTTTTCCTTGACATGAAAATTGAACCTGCTGTCTCTGGAACCTTAAGACTGCCACTTCACTGGAGGCAAGAAGCTGTCACTTCATCCTTCTGCCTCAGTTACCTCATTTACATTATGGAATTACATTTTCCATTTACTTCACAAGAGGATACCAAGGACTGAGTAATAAGTATTAAAAAGGTATATATTAAATTTTTCAGTTACTCAGAGATTTTTATACAATTACATAAAGCTCCAAATAAAAGTTCTATGTAATGGCAAGTGTTATTATTAGATTAAAAATTAATATTTAAGCTAATACTGCATTTGATTGTGCAACTACTTCATAATCAGAATGTGTGTTAATTCAGCTTTTTTTCCTCAAGTCAAAAATGCTGTTTCAAGTTATTGACAATTGTATTGTTTTGAACTTTCATCAACTTCACTAGTTAAACAGCTCATAGCTGATAACTAGTGAGGACATGGAAAGCAAAGGAAAGCTGTGCAATTCATCTGGGAATAGACAACATCTTCCTGTGAGTTTGAACAAAACCACACGCCATGATCACGACCTCTGGATGCTTCAGTGCTATAAATACCAAATCATCAGTCAAAGTCTAAACTTCTCAAACTTTCTCTGCTGCTGTGTCAGCAGAGTAAAATGCTAAGCCTTCTGTACTAAGGAGGAACATAGTCAGCTGGGGATTAAAAAAAAAATAATAAATTATGTGGTTAATGTATGGTTACTGAAGCTGGGAGTGAAAGCTGCTGTTCTAAGGAGGGTGGTACAAAGTTTCAGGTTGATCCTGTGGTTCCCTCCCACCACCTTCCAGCATGTATATAAATTGTCAGCTCTCCAGACCCTTTGCCAGTTCTCTCTTCTAGACTTGCCAGAAGCAACAGAGGACTAAAGATGAAGATCTTTTTCTTATTCACCTTTTCCACTTTTTTGTTGTCTGCTTTTGAACAAGCAGCTGCTGCTGCTCACTATGACAAGATTTTAACTCATAGTCGAATAAGAGCACGTGAACAAGGGTAAGTAACTGGATTTTATTTCTATATTTAAAGGGTGCTTGATAATTTTAATTCTCCCCTTTCTTCTCACATTATATTAAATATGACTTTTCTCTGTGAATTCTTGCTATTATTAATGCAGAACTTTCTCAACTAATTTTAAAATAATTGATCCTAAGTAATAAGGGGAATTTCAATAGGAGACAGAATACTGTTAAACTGCATAAAATGTGGAGAAGTCTAAGATCACCATTTCTCAGTGAGTGAAATACATGTGTTTTAGAATCACTGAAGTTAATTACAGTTCACAATGTAACAGAACCTCAGAATTGTTTAATATATGTTTTCAAAGGTTTGAATAGAACTGGCACTTAGTCCACAGTATTTGCTCTCTTTATTACATCCTAATGAAAACCATGAAATCTATTTAAATCCTTTCTAACATGAGAATATACACTGGGAGCCCTTTGTAAAACTTCTGTTCTCACTAGAGCAATGCAGCAAGCTGCTCAGCAGCGTATCCAAAAGACAATGCATATAAGTTAGGCTGCTTGGAGACATAAAAATAATTTGAACAGCTGGTGCTAGGGAGATATATGTGTCTAAATGTATTTTTCTTCAGTCTTCTTAAGTAAAAAATGTTCTGAAAATAAGAATTGTTTGCTGTCCTGTCTTCCTTTGTTGAATTTCTTCTGCCTGCTACACACAGGCACACACATACACAACACATACTTTCTCAAATTTTTAAATAAAAAAAAGTTCACTGGCTTCCCACTTTTACAAAATATGTGTTCTAGCTTTTGAATGCATGCTTTTTTTTTTTTTTTTTCTTTTTTAATTGTAGAAGTGCAAAAATCAGAGACAAAATGCTTTTGCTCCCTGGAATTTTCTCTTCAGAAATTCCTCTTCTATACACTACTATGGCTAAGGAAAAGTATTCCTCATTTGAAATCTATGACTCCTTTTATTTACATGCCAACTTACCCTTTGCTCTCCAGTAATTCCCAGAATGTTTACTTAGGTGCCTGCAGTACTCTCAACAGTTGGTAATCAAAATAGCCAATTGATTTACAGAAGACAGGGCTTCCTTCTACATGAAGAACAAGGCACTTTTCTTCTCCATCTCTCCATGACCTTCAGCTGCACAGATGTGTACAAGACAAAAACTTTAATGGAAAGAGCCTGGTGGTATTCACAGCTCAGTCCTTACTGACTGGTAATTTAATCACTTTGCAGGAGAAAGGGGAAAAAAAAAAAAGCCTATTGAGACTTGACTAGGCACAGCTGGTGACTGCTGCCCATCAAAGGCAGGAGCAAGAAAGAAGGGAGGGGAACCTTCTGCCCCTGCTAGGAGGGGCAAGTAGCCCAACTGGGCAGTCCCAGGAGTTTGTACTGTGTTTATTTAAAAACACACCTGCCTTAGGAACTGAAGCCAGATGTTAATTTCATGTTCAACGGAAACTGTATTTGCTGTTAGTTTGTAGAAAAAATTTCCAAAGATGCACGGAAACTTCTGTTTAAAATGTTTCTCACTTTTACCCATAGACCAAATGTCTGCGCACTGCAACAAGTTATGGGAACAAAAAAGAAATACTTCAGCACCTGCAGAAACTGGTATCAGGGAGCCATCTGTGGAAAGAAGGCGTAAGTATCCTGTTAGAAAATTATTCCTCGTTTACTGAGATACAATGTGTTATTAGAAAAAATTCCTTCTCTTAGTGGCAAATTAACTGTTTCATATGCAAACAAGGAAAGAATTTACAGGGTTACAGCTTCTCTTTAGCTGCTTCTATAGCCACCTTGATAACTGATCCAATATAACAGTTGCTAAAAATAATGACAAAAGGAGTAGAAAGTCTGAAAATGGCAACATAGTATGGGTGTCCTTTTATGTTCAGAAGGCTCAAAAGTATGATTTTCAGCAATACTTCTCAGAGTTAAGTAGTCATAGCTCTGTTTTAAACACAAAGAAATATGAGGTTAAGCAACCTATGCAAAGAAAACAGGAACCTCTTAGTTGTGAAAAATTTAGCACCATCCAGCAGAGCTGTGTGTTCCAACTACATTCTCCACAAAGAATGAAAGAAAAAAAATCATAATAAGATTGTGGATACAGACTAAATCTGGGTGAGTTTGGCATACTTTTGGAATCTATGTGTATATTTCAATTGTTACTTCTTTTCAGAATGCAAGTTATTGCATTCTTCTGTGTCAAAATGCCAATAGTGTCAGAGTCACTAGTGCTTCATCAGCTGTAGAGCGGTT